GTAAGAAAAAGTAATCATATTTTATAATTATATTAATTATTATATAATATATATATATATATATATATATATAATTTTTAAATATTAATTAATTTTGTATTTTAGACTGGAGAAGAAAGAGATATAACTCACATGCAATATTGTAGTTGGCCAGATCATGGAGTTCCTAGTGATTGGCGACAGTTTACAACATTTACTGAAAGAGTACGGGCAGCTAGAACAGGAATAGTAGAACCTGCAGTTGTTCATTGTTCTGCTGGAATAGGTAGAACAGGTGTTTTAGTTTTAATGGAAACAGCACTGTGTCTTATCGAAGCAAATCAACCAGTATATCCATTAGATATTGTACGATCTATGAGAGATCAAAGAGCAATGATGATACAAAATGCTGTAAGTTAAAATTTATAAAATTACATAATGTTGAATTGAAATTTATATAAAAATAATAATTTTTATATTTTATGAAATAATATATTTATTTTTTAGAGTCAATATAGATTCGTATGTGAGGCAGTTCATAAAGCTTATAGTGAAGAAATAGCTAAACCTCTTCCTGAATTTAGCAGATGAAAGTAACAAAAGTTTAGAAAACATTGTAATTATCATTTTTCTATTTCATCAAACATCAAATCATTAGAGGATAATTTTATACTTTGACAATAATATATATACATATATTATTCATTAAAAAAAGAAAAATAGAAAAGATTAACAATATTTCAAGTAGGTATTTTTTATTCGTTTGCAAATATAATTTTTATCTAAAAATTTAATTATCTAAAAAATAACTTTTCACACCTTAAAACTTACCCTATCTATTCTTAATTGTTATGTTAGTATTTGTAAATTATAAAATTTTGATAAAATTTGATAAGTTCATTAATTTATATATGTAAAAAAAAATATAAATTTCAAAGTATTATTTAAAATAATTATCTATATTACAGTTTATTTTTAGTTTATATTATTTTATTTTATTTTTATGATTAATTTACTTTATATGTAAAGATATGATATATAAAAAGCAGATTTTTACTTTATATGTAAAGATATGATATATGAAAAGCAGAGGTAGAAGTTAAATTTTAGGCAATACTATTAATATACTTTTAAAAATTATAGATTTTTTTATACAGATCTAAGATTTAATTTTTTAAATTATTATTCATAACAGAATAACAATATAATAAATATAATCTTTATATAAAAATTAACACAGCGCCTTAGAATCTATAAACGTTATTACTATGTTAGCAGAAAATTAAAAATAACATGGTTTGTCAATATAAAAAAATTGCCTTGAAGATTAATCGTGAAATATTACGTTAAATAAGCTAATATAATCATCAAATTCATAATTAATAAGTGCCACAGAATGTGATTGAATTATAAAGCAAAACTGTGGAATAATTTACAAATCTTCAAATATTTTGAACAATATTGGAATAAAAAAACTATTGAAAATAATAATAAGTAAAATAATTAGAAATAATCTCTTGTTTTTCAAAGAGATTAAATGCTCGAATATATGCTTTTTATTTATTTCATCATATTAAAAATGTATTTATATTGTATAAAACAAAATTTTATCTTTTAATTTAATCTTTAATTAAATATAATATTTTTCTTATAACTGATGTAATAATTTCTAGTATCACTTATATAATATATAATTTAATTATTATTTTAAGAAAGTAACATTTGAAACATCAAATTTTTTTTTTTCTCTCGTTTTACAAAAAAAATGCAAGTTTAAACTTGCATGATTAAAAAAAAAATATATTAGTATTCTAGTATTAAATAAGGATATTTTACAATAAAATTGATAGATAAATTTGGAACTATGAAAAATTTAACACATAATCACAAATATGGAAATATTGTAACATCATATACATGCAGTTTCAAAATTTATTATATTAATTTCATAAATATTTTATAAATTCTTCTTTTTATTCCATTTTTAATTTCTTTATAATATTGAAGGATTAATATTGTTACACATTGATTTACTTCAAATTAGAATTTATTTTTATATATATTATAATTAATTCAAAAATTTCTTTAGATGTAGATTATTTATGTGATTACGATATAAAATCATTGCATTTATTATCACACTAAAATGGCATTAGATCAGCATATTCAAGATTATTGTCTAATTCATTACAAGATATTTGCATAGCAATTTCAATTGTTTATATGGAAGACATAATATATATTTTATAATAAGATAAAAAGATATATTGTCATCATGCAAGCAAATGATCATATTTTGATCAATAAAACATTCAAATTATTAATGAAACAGAGCAATACAATATTGCTGTTGACATTAAATAAATACATTTTTCTTAAAATGCATGTAATTAATATAAATATGCCTATCTCATGCCAATTACCAAGTCCATCTTTTATATTCACATTTTTGCAATTTGCATAATATAGATACAAGTCTTCAACATAGAACAAAAAATAAATCAAATGTAACAATTATCAAAATAATATTATAATAAGTATGTCAAAAAATAGTTCATTCTGAAAACAATTTTATTCAGAAATCAATATTCTTTGAATTTTTTAACATTGTTAACAAAACGTACTATTTTTTATAATTGTATTATGTGTTCTACTTTCCGCCCATTTTTATAACGTTTTTATGTTTTGTATATAAATATATAGTAATCAAATTATTTTTACTTACAAAAATAAACTTTTAGATAAATTAAAATATTAAATATAAAATACATATGTACGGTCTATAAAATAATAATATAATTGTATACAATTATAAAATAGTATATACACAAAAAAAAATAAGGTCATTAAAATTTGCATTATTTAGTTTAAAGTATTTCTATAAAATAAAAAATTGAACTGAACAATGCAAAGTATTAATGTTTATGTACAATAACATAAACATAAACATAGTGAGTGTTTATGTACAGTAAAATATATTATATTGAAAATGAAATACTATAATATATTATTATCATTTATTATTATTTTTAATTCATTAATATAATTTTCTTTTAAGCATTGATAAATCATAATGTAAATAGGATTGATTAGGAAATTATCATTAAAATATATATTTTTGTGCTTTTAATTTGTACAAAAATCCATAATTAAACGAGGCTAAAAAAATAAACATCAAACTTATTATTACTTTATTAAGCAAGACTGGATTATAAAAGATGGTTATTTTATTGATAAATATTTTTTGTAATGAACTATTAAGATTGGATGAATCTATTAGGCATATCATAACTATAAGCATAGCATCAAAAGCACAATGTCATTTTAATATTTTTTATATTATTAATAATGCAAATTATTGATAATAGTGCCTTATATACATGCATCTAAATTATAATTATGAAGTAAAAATGAAAATTAATAACTATTATATTACGATAATTCCATACGCACACACTACATAAATTTCTTTTTATTTATAATTTCATTTCAAATTTATCATATTATGTTTTCTTGTATAATTGTTCATAAATTTTTTATAATTTATCTGTCATCTATTATTATATATTTATGTAAATATATATTTACATTTTCAATTTATTTTGTTTTATTTATCATGATTTTATATAAATTACTAATTATTTATTTATAATTTTAATTATATTAATAAAATAATATTATTATAATTAAATATTAATAATAATTATAATTAATTATAAAGTGTTCAGATAGATATTAAAAAACTATATTATTTTTATTTTAATATAAATCAATAACATTAAATATAAATTAATTGTATTATATTTTTGTTATTAATTAGCTAAATAACATCAGAATCTTAATAGTATCAAATATTATATACAATTACATTTTAAAAAAATGTATATTAATTATAAAATTCAAAAATAAAATTTTAGAATTAATTTTTATTTATTAATTATGTATGAAATACACTAATAATTACAAATATAAAAATTTTTATGTATTTTCTTATGTTATTTATAATTTTTAGATAAAATAGTAGTAATATACATTTTATACATATAATTATTGTATTAAGAGTTTTTAGTCAATATTATACAGAAATACTATTTGATATTTGTTTAACATATAAATGAAAATATTTTCATATAATATTCAAATATTATGTTCTATTATATAAGAAGAGTACAAAAGATCATTATATAATTAATTAAGATAATTAAGAATTACATTTATGAAAATTTATTTGTGTACAAATTTATTGTGCCAAATCGACATCAGATATTTAATTATAAATAAAATTATACATTTTCATAATTCAAATAGTAATTATTTAATTTGATTAAAAATTTATATTTTTAAATATATGAAATAAAGATTTTTTTAAATTTGTCTTTTATTTTAATAAAATTATTTAAAATATTAAACTAAATTTCGATTTAAAGCTTCATATTTTAAAATAAAATATTTTATTCAAATTTTTTGCATAATCTTTTAATTATTGATAAGAATAGATAATATATAATAATTTTTAATATCAGAATTTATTCATTTAAAAATTGTTTGTTTAAAAATATTAATTAATAAATAATTTATTATTAATTAATTATTAAATAATTGATAATTTTAGAACATTATATAACTAATTTGATTCTTTCAAGAGTTTTTTTAATTTGTTGCTATTATTAATATATAACTAAATAATCTTTAACTATTGAAGGTAACTATAAAAAAAGTATACTATTTTTCCAATTTCACAGATTTTTGAATATATAACATATAATATTTAAAATATGATATTATTAATATCATTGTAATTTTGATCATTAATTGGTAATTTCTAAATTACTTTATTTCATTTCACATTTCATGGATCTAAAAAATGTTCAAATTTTTTAAAAATCTAAATAAAGTCATATAGAATTTCAAAACTTTAATAACATATAAATTTTAAATAAATAAATTCTGACATTAAATATATATAGCCACAAAAAATATTATATTTATATTAAATATTACATTTAACTAAATTATAAAAAAAAATTAAAAAAAAAAAATATTCTAAATCGAAGTTTGATCAAATATTAATTTAAGCATAAATAATCTATACATAATAATAAATATAAATATTTTATATTTTTTTTTTCAAAAAAACATTACTTGTGATTTATTACTTGATCTTGAAAAATTTTATATAAATGAATAATTCACTAATATTCTCACTCTAATGTAAATAAATTAATGATTAAATATACTAATTATATTAAAATCTTTTTTCAAATAAAATTCGTATTCGCAGTAATTTTTTCATTGAAGTAATTGAAGTTGTAATTTACAAAATGATTTACATATTAAGAAGAAATGTCCTTCTTGTCCAGGAATATATGTTGATGGAATAATATGGTATGTACCTGCTGGTACTTCTTCTAATTCAAGATATACAAATCCCGATCTATAAATCAAATTGTAAATTAATATTTCATATAATTATAATATATTATTTTATAATACCTGAATGGACCAGAGCTTTTCATTTTAAATGCAGTAGTTACATCAGAATCATTTAATACAACTGATAAAATATCAAATCCTATTTGATATTGTTTAGGTCCCTTTAATATAATTAGCAAATAATTATTATTATTTGAACTTTCCAAAATCAACTGATAACGTGGATTAT